CTGCCGAGGGCTCCAGGCCCCCCTGGCGGCTCCGCGGGTCGTTACCCGCATCCCCGTCGAAGTCTCCGCACAGCCCGGCCACACGGCCGCGGAACTGGGGGGGCAGCTGCACCAGGACCCGCGTGCCTGGCCAGGGCGGCAGGGGTACCCTGAGAAACGGCCGCGGCCTGGGGGGGGCGGGTCTGCCTCGGGGCCCCACCCACGGGGGCACTGGGTCCCTCTTTTGGGGAGACATTGGTGGTAATGAAAGCGGCTTACATCTGGGGGGCCCACCGGCAAGCAAAGGCGGGCCCCTCCCTAGCTAGACCCAGGCTGGGGCGGGCGGGGCCTGTGCTGAGCAGCGCAGGGTGTGGGGGCCCTCCCCGGTCTCAGCAACCTTCTCTGGCAAGGGCAGCTGCTTGGCTCGGTGGCGGGGTGCTGCGGGTTTATTTTCATTTTTCTCTTTGCACGACATTCTCTAAATGTCTTTGCTGAGTGTTGCTTCCACAGCGAAGGGAAACAACCATGAAAACGTAACTTGGAAGCGCTCGAGCGGAAGAAGGGGGGGCAGGGTGTGCGGAGGGGGCCTCACCCCCATCCCAGAGCAGGCTGAGCCCCAGGCGGGTGGACAGCAGCAGGAAGAGGCCGGCGCGGCGCAGGCTCAGCCCGGGGCCGGTGTAGACCTTGGGGGGCGTTACACTCACCCCGTTCACCGTCACCCCGCGGCCTGCGGAGGAAGCCGGTTCCAGGCTGGGGCTCGGGGTGAGGGCGCCCGGCTTCTCCCTGCCCGTGCCCCTGCGCCGGCCAGTAGACCTGTCTGGGCTTTTTCCCCGGGGTCCCCCAGAACTAGGACTCCCAGCCAAGAGGCCAGGGGTCCGCCCCCTGCGCTGACGGGGGGCTGTGGGGAGCACTGGGCAGGGCCCCACCGCCGCGCGCCCTCCCGCGGGGCCCCGCTGGGGCCGGCACCTCTGAGCATGCGCACGGCGGTGCCCTGCAGCCTCACGGTCAGCGCCTTGGTGCAGGTGAGCCCGGCGGCCCCGCAGGGCAGGTTCTGGGCGGACACAGTGAAGCGGCCGCCGGCCTCTCCTACCAGCAGGTACTCGCAGGCCCCCGGGAAGGTGAAGGCCAGTCCATCAAATGTCACGTAGTGGGGGGCGCCGGAAGCCTGGCACCGCCCACCACACGGCCGGCCCGTGCAGCGCCAGCGCCCACCCTGGCACACACTAGGCAAGGGCCAAGGGGCACCGTCAGCGCCACCTTCCCACCGCTCCAGGCGGACCCTCAGCTTGGGGGAGCCTCTGGGCGCCCCACAGCCCAGGCCGCTGGGGACGCCCAGCCCACCCTTCGCCCAGCCCCAAGCAGGTGGTGAGAGGCGAGGTCCCGCGGGACGCACCAGACGCTGCAGTCCTCCTGGACGGTGGCGTTGGGCGGGTACCACTGGCCGCCGTGCCGGCAGGGGCACAGCTCGGGAGGCACGCAGCGCTCGCCCTGGCGGGGGCCAGACACGGGCGCCTTGGAGAGCCCCCAGCGCCCAGCCCACTCTTTCAGACAGCGGGGGCGCGGTGCCCAGCGGAGGGGGCCCCCACGATGCCCCACACAGCCCCCGCCCGGACTTACCAGCAGCACAGTGCCCGGGGGACAGACACAGCCCCCTGGGCTGCCCAGGGGGCAGGAGAGGTTGGCGCCGGGGCTGTCACAGGTGAGGAGGCAAGCGCCAGGGACGTGGACAAGCTCCCCGGGGCAGCGGGCCCGCGGGGGGGTGCAGCGGCGAGCGGTGCAGCTCCACAGGCCCCGCTCCTGGCAGACGCTGCCGAGGTTGGGGGCGTCAGAGGCACGTCCCGGGCTGGTCCGGCCCGGGAAGCCTCAGTGGCGGCAAAGCCCCGACGCCGGCTCCGGGGACCCGGGCATCCCACTGCTACACCGGGTCACCCGCGCGGCCGGGGCCGCCCAGCACCGCCCTGCCTGGGAAGGGCTGGCCATTCTCCCGGGGCAGAGGCCGGCGCAGAGGCGCGGGACCCCGACTCCCACCCTGTGCGGGACGCGGCAGCCTCAAGCCGGAGCCCTGGGCGCTGGCCCTGCCCCACAGGCCCCCGACTGGCCTCTGTGCTCCCCAAACGGCCCACTGCACTGGACCTCAGAGACCCGAGCTGTAGTCGTTCCCCACCAACACGCCGCGTCCCTGCAAGCTGTTAGCCCATCTGAGCCTCAGCTGCCCCCTCTGCAAAATGGCGCCATCTGTCCACTCCCCGCTTCACTGGGCTACCGTGGGGCTCAGCAAACGCAGCCAGCGTGCACGGAAGCGCGCCACAGACCCCTAAGGCCTCCAGACCGAGGAGCGGTCTGCCACGCGGGCCCCGGGCCACCGGCCCCAGTGCCCCCGGGCCCCTCACCAGTCGTTGCAGTCTCTCCGAGTGGCACTGCCAGGGGCATAGCGGTGGGCTCCGACCTGGCAGGGGCACAGGCTGGGGGGCACACACCGGCCCTCCGGGTCCCACAGTAGCCCTGCAGGGCAGCCGCAACCGGCCACACAGCCAGCCAGCGCCCCACAGTCCTCGGGCTCCCCGCAGTGCCGACCGCAAGCTGGGGCGCACTCCTGGTACTCCTGGCCCGCGGGGCACGGGACAGCTGGGCAGGGCAAGCGCACAGGTCAGGGCACAGCCCCTGCTGCTCTTCCCGCCCCTCCGAGCCCCACGAACCCTGCACCTAGCAAAACCCCGAGACCAGAGTTCCTGCTGGGGCCCTCCCCGAGGCAAAGCTGTGGGCCCCTCACTCCAAGGATTTGCAACTTGCAGCCAGCTGGGCTGACTCACCGCAGAGGGTCTGGTTCCTCCAGGAAAGCAAGGCGCCCTCCTGGGCACAGCGGCGAGCATAGGCAGCCAGCACTGGGCACAGGCAGGCCCCACCAGGGGCACAGCCGCAGGCCGCTGCCAGGCAGCGCAGGCGGAACGGCTCCCTGTCCACCAGCCCGTGGCACGCCTGGGGGCCAGCAAGTGGGTCAGCTCCTCCACAGGTGCCCTGCCCCCGCTGGTCCCCACTGCCGCCCCCTGTGCCCAACAGCCCGGCCCCCTCAGGAGCCAGGGCCCCCCGCCAGCCCAGGGGGCGGCAGACAGGTGCTGGCCCATCCCACCAGCACAGATGTGGAGGAGCACGGCCGTCGGGCTACCTGGAAGGCTGAGCCCTGCAGGATGGCGCAGGCAGCCTCTGCGAAGACGTGGCCCTGAGTGTGGGTGCCACACGGGGGAAGCGGGGTGGTGTCCTCCTCGGAAGAGCACCCTCCGTCGCCTGCCGCCTGGAACTTGCTGGCAAAGGCAGCGACGCTGGTTTCCACGTCTCCCGCAGGGGTCAGGAAGTCGTCCTGCTGGTTCCAGGTGAAGGTGCCACACAGACCCTGCACCTGGGCCGCAGCACGGGCACGGGACTGTCAGGTCTGTGCGCACGGCGGCCGTGGCCCAGCCATTCACCTGCCCTCCCCGCCAGCACACCTGGTGGGCATAGCGGGGGTCCAGGGTGATGTAGGCTGCGGGGTCGGCCACTCCCCAGAGGAGCTGGGCCCCAGGCCAGCGCAGCAGCAGGAAGGAGGAGGAGGCGCGGACCACGCTGAGGCCCCCGGCGCCATTCCAGGGCAAGCCCACAGCCTGCCCGCCGACCAGGACGGCGCCTGCAATGCCCGCCTGTGAGGGGCTGCCCGGGGCGAGGCTGGAGGCTGGGGTTGAGGGGGGCAGAGCAGACTCAGGGGCTGGGGGTGGCGGCCGAGGGCTGTGACCCCAGGCTGGCGGCTGGGGGCCCTGCACCCGGACCCCACCTAGAGGCTGTTCAGATCCCACGGAACGGGGAGCTTGCATTTTCAGCACCCTGAAGCGGAAGTACCTGAGTCCCTGAGTAGGATGTGGGTGTCCCCCAGGGAGACAGACACCGCGCGGAGGCAGCTCCCAGAGTCGCAGGCCCCGTGCTCCAGCGCGACCAGCAGCTGCCCCTGGGAGGGGTCCTGGGGAGACCGAGGACAGCGGCCTCACAGGTCACAGGGCCGGGAGCAGACCTGGCCGCGCCGGCCTTCTGCGAACACCTGGCAGTCTACCTGGGCAGCGCCCCCGCCCCCCCGGGCGCGGCGCCTCCAGCCAGCCTGAGCCTGCCTGAGCCTGCGGAGGGGGCTCGGCCTGGCCAAGCGTTCGCGCGGGAGTGTCCGCGTGCGGCGTGTGCACCTGTGCGCAGGTGTGTGTCTGTCTGTAGGTGCCTCCGCCCCGCACGCCCATCTGTGTCACACAGACGCTGAATGTGCGCGCACGCAAGTGTCACGAGCACACACGCAACGGCGGGCGCTTGTGCCCGAGGACGCCACGGCGCAGTCGCACTGGGGCTGTGCGCGTGTCTGAGCACGTCACGTACACACGCTGCATCCGTGAGCGCGCGTGTGCCCCCTCCTCTGTGCTGCGGGCGGCACGCGCGTACCCCATGTGTGCGCAGTCTGCGTGCCCTGCCGCCGGGCCGCGCGCTCACGCGCACAGCTGCGTGCCTGTGCACGCGCACGCGTGGGTGCGAGGCTGCGCGTGGCTCCGGCACGTGGCCTGGGCCCACCCTGAGCAGGCACCTAACTTCGCTGGCCCCCATGAGGACCAAGGGGTGGGGTCTCCCCCTGTCGTGCCCGGGGCCCCGCCTGCGGGCTGTGAGGCTCGGTTTTGTTTTGCGCCCCTGGGGTGAGGGGGGAGGCCAGGGACTTCCAGAGGAGCCTACCGGGGACCCCAAAGGGGCAGCCTGGGGGCTCTGGGCAGCTGCCAGAATCGGCTGGCTCAGCTTTTCCCCAGGAACACGGCGCGTCTGTTTCACCGCCCTCGAGGGCCCGCCCTGGCTCGGCCCCGCCCCCCCTGCGCCCCAGCCCCGGAGCTGGTCCTGCCCACCTGCACCAGGCTGTAGCGGCAGCCGGCGCGGCCGCGGAAGGAGAAGCTCCGCCCGTCGAAGGTGAGGTAATGGCCGTCCCCGCCCAGCGCACACTCGGCGGGGCACGGCGCCTGCGCGCAGAGCCAGCGGCCCTCCCGGCACACGCTGCGG